ATAATGGGGTGAGCGTAAAGCTCAGTAGATGGTGCCTAAGACACACCTCACGTGTCCCCGTAAATCCAAACAAGGAATAGGATAATGGGAATTAGGATCATACTCTATCGGGAAAATACAGCATTAAATCCATTTCAGCATGCACAATATGATGCCATGAAATGCAATGCATGCCGATGTTGCTCCCTATTTTCAACATTCAAATCTATCACTTTCAAATTGTTAATATAACCCACCCTTTGGTTACCCCGCAGCGACACGAGAGAAGGATTGGCTAGTGTCCCTGACCCTTGGTACCCCCGCGGCATCATTTTGGGCCCAACTAACTCAACCATACTAGGGCAATCTCCCTAGTTCCCTCTAGGCTATATTAACACTCCGGCCCTTTGGTGACTCCGCGGCAACCGGGTTTTCTCAAAACCATTTTAATCAAAACTTCTTCCCAAAATTCCCTTTTTTTCATTTTAAATCACATTGATCCCGTTTCATGCCCAATGATAGTGCATGGATGCTTCATGCCATGTCCAAGTTCATCATTCCATAACTAACTCAAACTTAATTAATATAGCATAATTCACAAGAATTTTTAAGTAAAACTACAACATGCTTTCATACAATCGAGATCTAGCATGATAGACATATAAAAATCAACATTTAGGCATGCTCTTCACATGTTTCAATTAATACACATAACTACACATCAACATATATACAACAACCAAGTAATTTGCTAGATTTTACACAAATTAGTCATGCTAGACAACAATTCATAAAGGATTAACTTACAAAAGAACAAGATTGTATGATTTAGGAACCCCTACCTCAAGATTGTACAAAAACCCCCAATTCGTTGCCTAGATCCCAATTCTCCTAAAGTGCACCAAACACCAAATTGCTCCGATCAATTTAGAGAGAATTGTTGTGGGCTTCAATTTGCCGCAAACGGCACTTAAAAATACCAAGTATAGAGAGAGAGATCTAGGATTGAAGTTGTAAATGAAAAAGAAAAAGAAAAAGCAAGATAAAGGGGAGAGAGAGAGAACTAGCGGGAGATTGGAGGAAATGGAGACCAAAACATGGTCTCATTGCCTTTTTGTATGTTAATGGTGGGTCCCACCTTTTTCTTTTTATTTTTCCTTTTTCTTTTGTCTTTAATTTACACCACGTACATATACATATACACAACTATATAAAATGCACATAAGGCACATCAAATAAAATACATGGAGTGCAAATGGACCCAATCAAATCCCCGGATGCAACAATACCGGCAGCGGGTCCCACACGGGACCGTTCGGCTCGAAAAAACTAAAAAATGGAAAAAAATAATCACCTTTACATTTCAAAGAGTCCTGGACTCAATGAAATGTCCCAAACAACTCTCAGACACAACCGGCACACCCCGTAGTGTCCGGTACGCAAAACGGTAAAAGACGAAATTGCCCTCGCCTCGACGAAATACCAGAAAAATAAAAAATGCTGAAAATTGGAAACATCACAATCTCCCCAACAAAAAGGATTTCATCCCCGAAATCAAGCCATACCTGGGGATGGAAACAACTCTGGGTACCTGGAGCGAACCTGCTGTTCGAGCTCCCAAGTAGCCTCCTCAACTCCGTGGTGTCTCCAAAGAACTTTCACTAACTGTACTGTTTTTCCCCTTAACACCTTCTGTCGGGTGTCAAGGAACTGCACTGGACCCTCTTCATAGGAGACATCTTCATTAATGTCCACGTCAACCCAATCCAAAACATGAGATGGATCTGGTTCATACTTCCGTTAGCATCGATACATGAAAAATATTGTGAACCCTGTCCATCTGTGGTGGCAAAGCAAGTCTGTAGGCAACTTCTCCTACACGGTCCAAAATCTCAAATGGTCCAATGAATCATGGTGACAACTTGCCACTCTTCCCGAACCTCATCAAACCCTTCCATGGAGAAACCCGCAGAAAAAAATGGTCTCCCACCTCAAAAGATAGCAATCGTCTCCGCCTATCTGCATAGCTCTTTTGTCGGCTCTGAGCTGTGAGCAATCTATGTCTGATCAATTTAATCTTCTCGGTAGTCTCGAGTACAATATCGGGTCCTAAGGCAGCTGTCTCGCCCACCTCAGTCCAACAAACTGGAGACCTATAAGGTCTGCCATACAACGCCTCAAATGGAGCCATCTCGATGCTCGCCTGATAACTGTTGTTGTAGGCGAACTCAATAAGAGGTAAATGATCTTCCCAACTACCACCCAAGTCAAGCACACATGCCCGAAGCATATCCTCCAAGATCTAGATAGTACGCTCCGACTGGCCGTCTGTCTGTGGATGGAATGTCGTACTAAGATGCAACGCTGAGCCAAACGCTGCTTGAAGTCCTTCCCAAAACTTCGAAGTGAACTTAGCATCCCTGTCCGATATAATGGCTACTAGAACTCCATGTAACCTTACAATCTCCTTCACATAAAGCACACCAAGTGCCTCTGCATCATCTATTGCCTTAATAGGCAAAAAATGAGCCGTCTTGGTCAGTCTGTCAATGATGAACCATACGGCCTCATTGCCTCTCCCTGACCTTAGAAGACCTGTTACAAAATCCATTGCAATCTGCTCCCATTTCCACTGCGCTACAGGCAATGGTTGCAATAAACCTGCCGACCTTTGATGTTCGGCCTTCACCTATTGATAGGTAAGGCACTTAGCCACAAACTGAGCGACATCTTTCTTTATCCCATTCCACCAATACTGACGTCTCAAATTATGATACATCTTGGTACCACCTGGATGAACTGCAAAGTGGGAAGTGTGAAACTCCCGTAAGACGTCCTCCCGACAAACTATGGGAACCACCAATAAACCCCTGAACCGTAGACCCCCATCTGCATGTAAGGTCCAATCATTCACTGTCTCACCACCGGAGATTAAAGCGTGGATGGCATCTAAATCCGAGTCCTGTCTCTGTGACTCAATCACTCTTACAATAAGAGTAGGCTGAGCCACAAGACTAAACAAGAATGCCGATTCACCACAACCATCATCGACAACATAATACAATCCCATTTCTGCCAGATCATTAAGCATCTTCCATTTCCGAATAGCCAATCCGGCCAAAGTTCCACGAGATTTTTAGCTTAAGGTATCTGCTACCATATTTGCCTTGCCCGGATGATACTGCAAATCAAAATTGTAATCTTCTAAAAATTCAACCCATCATCTCTGTCTGTTATTCAAGTCCTTTTAGAAGAAAAGGTACTTAAGACTCTTGTGATCCGAGAATACCTTGAATCTCTCACCATACAAATAGTGTCTCCAACACTTCAGTGCAAGCACGACTGCCGCCAACTCCAGATCATGAGTAGGGTAGTTGTACTCTTGAGTCTTTAATTATCGAGACCCATAAGCCACTACTTTACCATCCTGCATCAACACACATCCCAACCCATCACGTGAAGCATCACAATAGATCACATAACCCAAGCCACGCTCAGGTATCACCAATACTGGAGTTGTAGTCAATTTTGTCTTCAGCTCTTGAAAATATGACTCACAGGCTTCATTCCACACAAACTTGATTCCTTTTCGGGTCAATCAAGTCATAAAAGCTGCCAAACGGGAGAAATCTTTCACAATAACCCGCTAGACCAAGGAAACTCCGGATCTCAAAAACATTCTTAGGTTGTTCCCAATTCAAAACTGCTTTAACCTTTGACGGATCAACTGACACTCCTCCTTCCGAAACAACATGCCCCAAAAACTTCACCTCTTGTAGCCAAAACTCACACTTCTCATATTTGGCATACAATCGGTGCTCTCGTAAAATCTGCAATACAATGCTCAAATGGATCTCGTGCTCTTCCCAAGTCCGAGAATACATAAGAATGTCATCCACGAAAACTACCACAAACTGGTCTAAGTAATCGTGAAAGATGCAGTTCATCAAGTCTATGAATGCCGCAGGTGCATTAGTCAAGCCAAAAGGCATAACAAGGAATTCATAGTGTCCATACCATGTATGGAACACTATCTTCGGGATATCCTCATCCCTAACCCGCAACTAATAATAGCCAGACCTCAAATCAATCTTCGAGAAACAACTGGCTCCCCTCAACTGGTCAAATAAATCATCTATCCTTGGCAAAGGATACTTGTTCTTAATGGTGGCATGGTTCAACTTCCGGTAATCAATGTACAACCTCAAAGAACCATCTTTCTTCTTAGCAAACAAGACCGGTGCGCCCCACGGTGACACACTCGTTCTGATGAAACCTTTCATCCTCAAATCATCAAGTTGTTTCTTCAACTCTTCCAACTTAACTGGCGCCATACAATATGGTGCCATAGAAATCGGCGCGGTACCGGGCATCAAGTCAATAGTAAACTCCACTTCTCGGTGTGGAGGCAACTTTGTCAAATCCTCTAGAAATATATCGAGAAAATCACGAACTACCTCCAGATAGTCTTCTCCCACAACTTCATCTTCCTCGGCTAGAAGACTAGCCAAGAAATAATCACCATGACTCCGCCCATGAACTCCATAAAATGATGAAATGTGGGAATCACTCTGATCTCCTACAAAAAAGAAACAATTTCCCTCAGGAGTGCAAACTGTAACTCTACCTCTGAAACAATCAATCGTGGCACGAAAGAAAGCTAATCAATCCATCCCGAGGATGACATCAAAGCTAGTCATCTCGAGGAGGATAAGGTCAAACACGAAAGTCCGCCCGGCTATCATAATGGAACAATCCCGTACAACTCGATTCAAGGACATCGAAACCCCAACTGGCGTATCAACACACAACGCCCTATCCATAAGACTGATCTCTAACCCCGATGCAAGTGCAAATGATAATGAAATAAAGGAATGAGATGCACCAGAGTCAAAAAGAATACAAGCCCAAGAACTAAACATTGGAAAGATACCTCAAAGAACTGACGGTCCAGAAGATGCATCAGCCGGTGTAAGTGTAAAGACACGTCCCTGCAGTGCCTGTGCCTGAGAACTGCCACCCTAAAGACCGGACTGCTGCACTGGCACAGTAGGAGCATCCCTCCTAATGGATCGTGAATCCTGAGAAGACATAGCAGGCTGTGGTGGTGGCGGTGGTCTAAAACCTGACTGAACTGTAGTCGACTGTGACGGCCTCTGTCGTGACCTTCTACCACTACCGGTGCTTGCTCCCTGACTAGGACAGTCTCAAATCAGTGACCCTACTGGCCATACCCATAGCAAGCCTTTGGAGCTGAAGAAACTAAAGATGATCTCATGGGACAATTGGACTTGTAATGCCCAGGCTGCTGACACTGAAAACAAACAATTCTACTTCTGTCAGGCCTAGCTGGTATAGGAGTGGTAGGAGCAGATCATGCGGACTGCTACCCCCGAAACTGAAACGAACCACCCTTGTTCTTCTTCCAAGAAGATCCTTCTAAAGATGGCCCTGCACCTCTCTTTTGCTTCCACTGTTCCTTCTTGCATCCTTATCTTTGATGTTAGCCTCAAGCATCAAAGCCCTCTCTACTACTTCAGAATAAACCTTGATAAACTGTGCCATTATCAACGACCTCATTCTGTCATGAAGACCGGAAACAAATTTCCTAGTCTTGTCAACTTCATCTCTCACCATTTCTAGAGCAAAGCGAGAAAGTGAGGTGAACTTGTTCTCATACTCTGCCACTGACATATTGCCTTGGATAAGGCCAAGAAACTGGTCTTTCAATTCCCATCTTTTAGAAATCAGAAAATACTTCTCGTAAAATAATTCCTTAAACTTTTCCCAACTCATTTCTTCCACCTTATGCCGATTCATAGCCGTCTTCCACCAAAGTTTGGCATCCTTAGCAAACTTGTAAGTAGCTAAGATGATCTTTAAGTGATCCTTTGTCGCATCCATTGAGGTTAATTGAGTCTCAACTTGATCCATGTAGTCGTCTGCTACCATTGGATCTGTACCGCCCTCAAACATTAACGGCATTAACTGAGAACACCCCTTAATGATCTTAAGACGCTTCTAAGCTGGCGTCTCCTCTGCCTGGACTACATGTTGTGGTGACAGCTAGGGCTGAGCAGCAATTGTTTCCCTCAAGGCACTTTGCAACAAACGATTCAACTCTAGTCCCGCAGAACCTTCACCCACTTCTACGGGTGCTTCAACATTATCCCTCCTTGTGGGGACACCTCTCGGGGGAATCAAATCTCTAAGAAGTGTGTCCTCATCATTTAGCTCCTCCGAATTGGAGCTGGATGTCACGCCCCGCCTATGGAGGTTGTGCCACGCAGGTGACCTGCAGACGCTGAGGAGGACGCTGCATGACAATTGCATGGCGAGTGGAGTTTCCAGAGTCTTCCGGAGTTGTCTAGAGTTGTGTGAAAGATTCTAGATATGTGTAGAATATTCTAGAGTTCTCCAGAATTGTGTGGAGTAGTATGGAGAGTTCTAGAATGTTGTAGATACTAGTAGATAAGTATGGAAGTGTGAAGAAAGTGGGAGAAGATTCTAGAGAATTGATCTCCACTGCTGGATAGAATGCATCCTAGCCATCCATTAGGGATGGGGATGCTTGTAAATAAGAGTAGGACTTCATTTTGTAGCCAACAAGTCCTAGAGTGAGTCTTGAGAGCCTTGTAGAGAGCTTGAGTGCTAGCCTTGTACAAAGCATTCTTTGAAGTAATAGAAGTGTTATTTCCTTGCCAACTTAAGTGCCTTAGTGTGTGTGAGTGTGCAAGCCAAGTGAGGAGAGGGCGAGGGCGAGGGCAACTACAACACTAGTAAGCGCACGAGGGGAGTGTGGTGGCTAAGGTGTGCACGGGAGTTAGGCTGACCAAGTACTTGCGAGAGTGGAAGCAACGTCTTGGTGCCGCACGGGAGCAGCTAGAGTGGTGCTGAAACTCTAAACCCGTGACAGTTGGTATCAGAGCCAGATTCGTCAAGGGAGCTTTGTTGGAGTAGACATGGCTAGTGGAGGAGACCACCAAGTCTACGTCTTGGAGCAGAGCTTGAAGGAGAAGCTTGCCACACACTTGGTCTACATGGAAACCAAGTTTAACAGGCTCGAGAAAAGGATGGCGGAGCTCTACGAGCTAATTGATGGCATCGCCAATAAGGCACAAGAGAAGGAAAGGGACTTGCATGATCTGGTGGATGACTTGCGCATGGAGATTGCTGAGTGCAAGAAGGAGTTCTCCCAGGTGCTCAAGGTCGTGGTGAAGCTAAGGAAGAAGAAGGAGCCGGAGCCCAAGGAGTACGATGGGACAAGGAATGCGCGCCAGATTGACAACTTTTTCTGGCACATAGAGTGGTACTTCGAGTGCATGGAGATCGAGGATGATGAGGAGAAGGTGCAGACAGGCACCATGTACCTCACAGACACTGCCACTCTATGGTGGAGGTGGCGCTTCACCGGTAGAGGCACAAGAGCGATTGACACATGGGAGGAGTTCAAAAGGTAGCTCAAGAGGCAGTTCTACACTGAATGCGTCGAGGACCTTGCCATGATCAACCTAAGGCGCCTGAAGCAGAAGGGCAGCATAAGGGAGTATGTGAAGAAGTACTCCAACTTGATGCTGGAGATCCCAGAGATGCCGAAACGGTAACGCGTGTGTTTGTTCATTGATGGGTTGCAGTCTTGGGTAGCCATAGAGCTGGGAAGGAGGGAGCCTAGAGACTTGGCATCCACAATAGCTATAGTAGAACGCCTTGAAGACTTTAGGGGTGATGACAAGAGGGCCACATCTCTCAGGAGCGACCAAGGCAAAGGTGGGGGCGACCGGCGCTTCAAAAAAGGGGGATCGCCCAAGTCCAGTGATGATGAGCACAGTGATGAGGAGAGACACCCACGCCATGATAAGGGCAAAGACCATGAAGAGAGGTCCAAGGCTAGTGGCAAAGGGGAGCGCCGCGATAAGGACAAGTAGGAGCCAAAGTGCTACTTGTGCGAAAGGCCGCACATATTGCGACACTGCCCCAACAAGAAAGCCATGATCACCCTTGTGAAGGATAAGGGCAAGGGCAAGGTGGAAGATGCGGGCAGCGACGAAGACAGGTGTATAGGGGCTATGCAGATGCTGAGTAGCATGGCGCATGACACCAAGAAGAAGGGCAAGGCGAAGAAAGTAGCCGAGGTGCGCTATGTGGATGCGCAGGTTGGTGGCAAAGCCGTGCAAGTGTTGGTGGACACAGGTGCCACACACAACTTCATTACCCCGAAGGAGGCGCAGCGACTTGGCTTAGAGATGCGCAAAACGGAGGGTTGGATCAAGGCTGTCAACTTCGATGAGGCACGCGTGAGCAAAGTGTGTAAGGAGGTAGAGCTATGCATGCAAGAGTGGAATGGTAAGGCCGACTTCCAGGTTGCGGAAATGGACGACCACGACATGGTACTGGGGCTGGAATTCATAGATAGGAACAACGCTGCGCCACTACCATGCCTTGGTGCATTGATGATACTTGGAGGTGAAGAAGGCAAGGCCGCATGCATGGTGCCGCTCGTGGGTGAGAAGGAGAGTCCAGAGGTGGCAGTCAACACGATGGAGCTAGTGAGGACCTCACATCTCCCGAAGGGCGCTCGTACGTTTGGGCCAAGGACATATGCGCAAGTACTAATGACCTGCGAGAGGCTAGGTCAGCTGAAGAAACCGTGATGAGGACGTCATGGAAATGGGTGGGGGAGAATGTCACGCCCTGCCTATGGAGGTTGTGCCACGCAGGTGACCCGTAGACGCTGAGGAGGATGCTGCATGGCAACTGCATGGCGAGTGGAGTTTCTAGAGTCTTCCGGAGTTGTCTAGAGTTATGTGGAAGATTCTAGATATGTGTAGAATATTCTAGAGTTCTCCAGAATTGTGTGGAGTAGTATGGAGAGTTCTAGAATGTTGTAGATACTAGTAGATAAGTATGGAAGTGTGAAGAAGGTGGGAGAAGATTCTAGAGAATCGATCTCCACCGTTGGTTAGAATGCATCATAGCCATCCATTAGGGATGGGGATGCCTATAAATAGGAGCATGACTTCATTTTGTAGCCAACAAGTCCAAGAGTGAGTCTTGAGAGCCTTGTAGAGAGCTTAAGTGCTAGTCTTGTACAAAGCATTCTTGGAAGTAATAAAAGTGTTCTTTCCTTGCCAACTTAAGTGCCTTAGTGTGTGTGAGTGTGCAAGCCAAGTGAGGAGAGGGCGAGGGCGAGGGCGAGGGCAACTACAACACTAGTAAACGCACGAGGGGAGTGTGTTGGCTAAGGTGTGCACGGGAGTTAGGCTGACCAAGTACTTGCGAGAGTGGAAGCAACGTCTTGGTGCCGCACGGGAGCAGCTAGAGTGGTGCTGAAACTCTAAGCCCGTGACATGGAGCTCTAGCCAACATCACTCCTAGTCGGCCTAGGGCCAACTTCCCTGGGCTCCTCACGCCGTGACATTGTGCTATAAAATGAGAAAACGATTCAATAACAAGACACTAAGGTCCACTGTGGACGACTCAACATGAAATGATGCCGTAACGACACTCAGTATGCACAATTATACAAGAAACATTTTAACATAACATTTAAGCACGTAAGCAGTTAAGCATGCTTCTTCAAGTAATAAGCAAGTAGCAGTTAGTCACATAAACAATGCAATCAACATCCCATATAGTCCTATGTAGGCCTCTACCCGTCGTCCTATAGGCTTTCGAACCATGGCTCTAATACCATCTTTGTAATGACCCAAACCTATGGGTCCGGACCGTTACCCGGGTCCTTGTCCTGACCCGAGGTCAACTGAGTCATACCACCTAGTTCCAATGTCCACGCCGGCCATAGGAATCAATCTGAGTTTCCAAAGTACTGCAGAATGCATCCTTACAAAGGTGATCAAACAATGTAGGTCAAAAGGGATGTTCAGCCGGCTGATGGGCCTTCATCGGCCGGTTGTTAAGACATGATCGGCCAGCTGACCTACATGGTCGGTCGGCCGAAACAAGGATGAAGTTTACAAGCTCTCGGAACTTTCACTATAGGCGTTTCGATCGGCTGATGATGGGGGTTCGGTCGGCCGAACCTAGAGTTTCGGTCGGCCAGCTGACCTACATGGTCGGTCGGCCAAAACAAGGATGAAGTTTACAAGCTCTCGGGACTTTCACTATAGGCGTTTCGATCGGCTGATGATGGGGGTTCGGTCGGCCGAACCTAGAGTTTCGGTCGGCTGATGGTGAGGATCAGCTGGCTGAAACATGGCCTTCAAACCTAGAACTCACTGGAATAAACTTTCCTGGCCGTGCTTAAACATTCCCAACCTATACCAAACCTGTTTGCAATCCATTTTCGAATTCACGGCAACAAAATACGATGATTCAAATTTAAAGGGCATCATTAGACAATTATAATACAACATTCATTTCCCATTCATCAAAGAGTATCCACTTAGTCCCAAATCTACCATATTTGCAATCAAGTGTCACGGTCCAAATACATGTCCTTAGTTAACAAAATAGGTACACTTTACTATAATTTGAGATTTTACAAAAATGGGAAATATACAAAAGGTACAAAATGAACTCATAGTCATCCTCACGCTTGTGGAAGATTGGTATCCACTACTTCTTTACCGGTTCCTGAAAAATGTTAAATAATGGGGAGAGCGTAAAGCTCAATAGATGGTGCCTAAGACACACCTCTCGTGTCCCCGTAAATCCAAACAAGGAATAGGACAATGGGAATTGGGATCATACTTTGTCGGGAAAATACAGCATTAAATCCATCTCAGCATGCACAATATGATGCCATGAAATGCAATGCAAGCTAATGTCGCTCCCCATTTTCAACATTCAAATCCATCACTTCCAAACTGTTAATATAACCCGCCCTTTGGTGACCCTGCAGTGACACGAGAGAAGGATTGGCTAGTGTCCCTGACCCTTGGTACCCCCATGGCGTCATTTTGGGCCTAGCTAGCTCAACCACACTAAGGCAATCTCCCTAGTTCCCTCTAGGCTATATTAACACT